AACTCAGCGATGAAGTTAACAAGTATAGCAGCAGCGGTAGCAATAACGACGTTGAAGCAAAGATCAACAGCAAAAGATTTTCCGAACAAAGTCAAGAGGAGATAACTTCTGCAATGATCCAAGAGATTTTCGGGAAAGAAGAAGAGATTTCCAGACCTACATTTAAGAAGCGGAGGAGGTATCGCTTCCTTCACAGCATTTACAAGGACACTAAGCCTTTGAAGATATGGCAAGGATTCTTGTAAAAGAACACGACTTGCTGCCGTTTTTTTTCTTTCTTTCAGACATTTTTAGAAGTAAAAGTGTGCATATTTGATTGCAGAGAGAAGTGTACTTTTTTAGATGACTGAGTTGAAACTTGAAAGTTGAGCGAGTTTGGGCTGAGTTTCCTTTCAACTTCCATTGCATGCTTATTCACCTGTTGTTCTTTTTTCTTCTTCTTGTGTATGGGTTTTAGTGGGATTCTCTACCTCTACCTGATTTACTGCTTATTCAGCATCTTGGCAATGAAATGTTTCGACTTCAATAGAATTTTCTTTTCCGATCAATGTTAATGATGATTTAAAACCATGATGCTAACCAATGGCTTGCTTAAAGTGGTAAATTCGCTTAATTAAGTTTTGAATTCAAGTATTCGTGTATCTAGAAAATCTTCATCGGGAGATTAACTCAACAAAACTATATTTGCGACTCGGGTTGTTCCTAATTAATCAAAGTGAAGCCTTAACAAAGAAAATCATAACCTTGTTCAATAAAAACGAATATTATTTTTTAATAGAATCGGTTAATCTTATTAAAATATAAAAATATTTAAAATCACAATAAAATTTTATAATTAACATTATAATTTTTTTATTAATCACGGGTAAGTACAAGGCAATATTTGTTCAAAAATAAACTCTAAACCATTTGACATTAAATGCTCACACTCCAAATATTTTTTGTGCTCAAACCCGGGACCTTAAGGAATAATAATAATTTCTTTACACCAATCATACATAGAAAAGATTAAAAACCCAATCAAATGACTCCAAAGATAAATAGATACAAACAAATCTAATTACATCGGTAAATAAACCACACAAAAATTAAACTGTTAAAAGATCTCCAAGAATTCCAAATCAAAACGAACATCATGAGAAACTATCCACAGACGCAAAATCACATATCCAAACTCTATTTGAAAGTCCATAGCAGTGAAGATCAACATGATTACAAATAAATGTCATCTTTGTGCGTCGTCAAATTCAACCCTGAAAAAACATGAAATAAAAAGACTAACCAAACGACCAAGAAATAATACGAAAAATGTGTTTCAAATATAAAAAAAACGTAGTATAGTTATTCTTATTAAAAAAATAAAAAACAAAAACAAAAAAATCGATGATCGACAACTAGTATCAAAACTAATATCGTGGTCAACTAAATAAAATTTTAAAAATTAAACTGATCTACAGTTGACTACACAAATTCTAAGAACGAAAAAGAGAGAACGGCTAGGGCAACGCTACAAGATGGATTTTAATTATAACATTGTTAACATGATTATAATTACATATAATATGGAGGTCTCCCATGGAAACTGCTCTCAACCTAGCGTTGGGGGCAGCCTACTATCTTACCTCATCTTATCCCATTACATATGAGAATAAGGGTCAGCTAATTATTTTAAAAATAAATATCATACTTATGCCGACATATATATTATAAGTATTTAAATCCTACTGTCATATTTTTAATTAGGATTGTAATTGTATTTATCAGTCTATTGAACATCGTCAAAAGCTATATTATAATCTTTTATTGAATAATAAAGGAACAGATTATAACTACATATAATAAGAATTACTTTACTCTCATGATATGTTTTAAAGAATAAAATATGAATATAATCTCCAATTTTAGATTTATTTAACGAACGTAAAAATTTATGTAAGTATTTGATTTCCCCACTAATGTTCGATTACTCTGATTTCAAATTCAATCTGAACTTTAACGATTAGTGTAAATTTCACTTATATGTGTCAATATTAATATAATAACCTAATTATGTCATGTCTGATACTTTGTAAGATAACATTACCTTAAACACTATCAACTTCGCGAACAAACAAGCAGAGCAGGCATCCACAATTCAAACAACACACCAACTACGATGCCGTCACCTCTTAAACGGCGTTTGCTTGGACTGGTAAGTCTGGCCTGGAAGAATACCTACCACGCCCGCGCCCGCGCCCGCTTCTTCCCCTGCCACGACCACGCCCTGCGAGCATGATGATGAGCAAATCATACACTGCCAATGATGTTAAAAGGTACAACAAACCAATGACGACAATCTAATAATAAAACTAGGTGTCTGCTCTCGGCAGATGCTTGTGATAACCAAATTCTTCCTTACGTGAACTGCACATTCTTCGACATACGAATCACATCATTCAAATGAAATTTTTGGAAAACCTAGTTTAAGTCGGCAGATAGTTCACTCTGATACAAATAGAAAAGTACTTGAAATTTCCAACTATTTTAATTTTGAAAAATTGGCATAAAATGCAAGTTAGCAATGAATTTGGAATGCTGAGCAGGCATGTTACCTAGAAGGTAGGTAGTTAGCCTTGTTATTATATTTGAAATTCATCTCTCTTATTCAACAACAAGCTAGTAGCAAAACAAGAACATCATACTTCGAACTCTATTCCAAATCACAAACTTACCACGACCTTGGGCTGGGGTGCATGGGACTCACCATACTCATAGTACCATCCAGCATCATATCCTCGTCCTCGACCCCGGAAAGGGTTACCTCTTCCACGCTCCCGACCTAGGCCACCAATACCATGCCAGAGTCCCAACCATCACCATTGTATACCCCTACTGCACGATAGTTTCCTGAACCCATCAAAGAGGCAGAACACATCCAATGAGCATATTCACCAAGTTATATAAACAGTACATAACATGAAAGAAAAGCAAAAAAATACGAAGTAAAGGATGCAAAGATATACCAAAGATCAACGCAACAATAATACTAAAATAAGACAGTATATATTGGCTGAAGAAAAAGGAAAGTAGATAAGTTATTTTCTCCGTGCACAAAAAAAAGGGAGTCACGGGATGCACCAAGGTAACAGCATTGCTTTGAAATAATTATTCTAAATTCAAGAAGCAAAGGGTAATGAAAAGTTGACATACTCAAACTGAAAACCGTATATGATATAATAAGGATACCTCGACCACTTCTTCCCCTTCCTCACGTCTCCGGTGGAGCCTCAACAGCTAGATGACATCAAAATATCAGATATTACAAACTCATCATCTAATTTATTTTCCCTTCGATGAGTACTTATTTACGAAACAAGATTGCATACCTCCATCTTCAAATTCATTTAATGGTTTCACTTGATCAACCGAAAGAGGAGGTTGCATTTTAAGAGTAATTAGATATGACCTAAGAAGCAGAATTCAAACCCAGAGAATGGGAAAACTCAAATGTATTCAATATTTCTCAACGAAATATTGAACAAATAGTAACCCATATTATATAAGAAAAACCTAGCACCAGCTGGTGCATGAAGAGGCTGTTGAAAATGAGACTGGAGGTGCATCAATTTCTGTCTACAGGAGCTGTCACTGCTAGTTCCATTTGGGATTCTATCAGAGAAAAGAGACCCAGGGTTCCTTGGCAGAAACTGCTTTGGTACCCCATGCACATACCAAAATTTAGCCTTATCACCTGGATGGCATTTTTGGATAGGCTTCCTACCAAGGTCCGGTTACAACGCATGGGAGTGATTACTGATTCTCTTTGTGTTCTTTGTTCTGCAGAACCTGAATCAAGAGACCACCTATTCCTTTCTTGTCCTACTGCAGCTTCCCTTTGGGAGTCCATCTTCTCTTTATCAGGTTTGATCTTTACTGCCTGCACCTGGGATGACTTCATGTCTCAGGCTTGTATTTACTGGAAAGGAAAATCCTTGCTTTCCTTGGTTATGAAGCTGGCTTTGAACACTTTATTGTATTTGTTATGGGAAGAGAGGAACAAACGTTTGCTCCAAGGGCGTTCAAGGTCTCTTGAAAACTTACTTAAGGCAATTAAAGAGGTTGTTAGTCTTCACTTAAAGGGTAGGATTTTTAATCGACTGCTTACTGTGAATATTAACCTCTGCAATCAATGGAATATTGCAGACCATTGATTCTTTTTGTATGTAATCTGTTTTGACTCTATTGTATTTTGTAGCTTCTTGCTATTTGGATAATAAAATCTTACTTATCCAAAAAAAAAAAAATAGAAGTATACAGTCGTAAAAAAAAGAAAGAGACAATTCTTCACATGAAACAAAAACAAGGGACAACACATAAATGCATCATAGAATGTCTAAATCCAAAGCCGGAAATTAGACTTCCAACTTTGAAACAATTAAAAATAAGTGGAAGTATTCTGATGAAGATCGGGAATTCTCCTCTGAAGACAGAAACCTTGATATAAATCAAGAAAATGGCATACGTATATATACATGTAATTGAGAAGTGAAACAGAGAGGGACATCTTCAAGCTACCTTGATTAGCTCTGCAATCATCAGTCTTACTAATGGCTCTGCCCATTGCTTTAAGAACAATCTCACTGGAACCTTTCTCCTACATAAAATGCAGAGGGAAAAAAGTCAAATAAAAAACAATTTAATTCCATATGAAGGAATTTTAATACTAAGATTAAATTTTTAAGTATGAAGCACTTACTGAACCCCAATTACCACAATAGTCACTATGAAGCACAAAGTTAAATCTCCATGGATGTAATCTACTTAAAGTACCTATGAATCTCCAAATAAATGGAAAACTTAAACATACTCATAGCTACTCATACTATAGGAAGGGAAGCATTTCATCCCAACAATTGTATCAGAAAAATATTACATACTTTGAGGAGAGTGGTGGCATAGGTAATAAAACTCCTCATTGCTTATCCTAATTTCATTTTGGTTTATGGGAATCTCTGATTTTGGCTTCTCCACCCTCTGATACCGATCCATCTATCTTTTACAATTTTCTTTTTTTCCCATTATCAAATCTAAAGCAACAAAATCAATCAAAAACACACAGAAACCAAACAAAAAGAAATTCTGGGTTTTGTTGGATTTACCTCAACTATCAGCAAAGAAACTAAGAGAGTGAAACTGGAGCTGGAACTGAAACCAAACAATTTTTTTTATATTTTTTTTATTAATCTGAAATAAATATAAAAAATATATATTTAAATACACACATCTTTAATATTCTTGATTGCGAAATGAAATATAAGAAATGAGAAGTATTGTGGGTTTTTTTTAACGAAATTCAGTTTTACTTTATCAACAGAACAATTCAAGTAGTAAGAAGTTTGATATCGTTTAAGCAATATCTCATATTCGAGTTCTTATATATGCAGAAAATTCACTGAAACTCGAATTGATATAGATTACTCAGGACAAAGCCTTGAAACTGAAGGGAAACAAAACAAAATCAGTTCTACTTCGGTTCTAGATTAAAGGGAGAGTAGGGTTTTACAGAACATTTCCCCCCTCACTGGATTGGACATGTAATGTTATTTGGATTTCAGGAGACCAAACTTTGGCGTTACTTTTGTATTAGATGTCAAACTTGTAGGTGATTCTATAAGCTTAGTTAGTGCTGAGCAATAAATATGAAAAAAAATCCATCTGCACTGTAATTTATGAACGGATTATAGTTTAAAATTGTGATTATATGATTTTTTTTGTTTTTTTGTTTTTTTTGAAGATGGATTAGCTGATGGTAACGGATATGTAGGGAGTTCTAATCCAAAAGAATTAAAAGATTAAATTTAACAATATTAGCACTAAGCTTGCGGTCATCAAACAAGACACGTGATGTAAGAGCTCGATAATGTTAATGGATGCGTTGAAAGGAATTATGTTTAATTCGTTCATCTACTCTTTGAGCTTAATTTTATTTGGTCAGAAATGCACCGAAGGATGTTGAGGAACTGATTTAATTTAGAAAATTTTAAATTTTATATAATTCAAGTAATTTTATATTTTATACTGATGATCTAGTTTTTTTTTTTTTTTGTAACTTTATGCTCCTAAATTTATAATAGGCTTAAGGATCACTTTTGTCCTTGTAGCAGATACAATTTATCATTTTTGTCTCTATTGTATTTTCGTATCAATTTAGCCCTCAAAATTGTTTAAATACATCATTCTATACCTTATGCCTAACTTAAAATCGTAAATTATAAACCCTAAGGGTTTAGGGTATAAGGTTTATGGTTTATATGGTTTAAGATTTAAGGTTTATAATTTAGGATTTTAAGTTTGGGGTATGGTATAAAATGATGCAATTGAGCAATTTAAAAGGTTAAATTGATGTGAAAATACGATATGGGCGAAAGTGATAAATTAAGTCTACTACAGGAGTAAAAGCTACTATTTTTCCTTTATATTATAATTTCTTAAAAATTTACATCTTTGATTAAATACATATGTTCCTCTTTACATTTAATTGTATATAGAAATCAAATTTTAACATTTATAATTGAAAAATATACATGCATAATTTTAATGTGTTAATATTTGATATATTTTCCCTATAGATAACATGATAATATTTTTACATATTATCATATCATCTTCTATTCACATACGATACACAAAATTATAAGAAAATACTGAAATTTTTTCAAGAATGAATTTTCACCATTAACCATTTAAGAAGTAAACCATCTCCAATTGAATGCTATAGTTTATGCTCTACAAACCATTTTAACTTCCTATGCCGTTCAAGCAAGGTTTTTGTTGTTTTTGTTAATTTCAATAATTTTGGGAACTTCTTCTTAATCAATAGCAATGGGGTGTTGTTCTTTTGTGTTTACTATTATCTCTAAGAATAATTATGAAGAGTTAAGTTTAATTTTTGTTGTTGTTGATGTAATAAGTTTATCTCGACGGTCATTGATAGATTACACCTTTTAAATTAAACAAAAGTTACAGTCAATAAGAGAAAGATTATAAGCCGGTGTTTAATTGGTGTTTAGAGGAAGAGGAAGAGAATGTTTCATTGTAAGTAAGAAAAAGGGTCGATCGAGGTAATTAATGGTTTACTCTCTTTTTCAGTTATGATTGTGATATTTATAATGACTTTTAGTGTGTTAATCGTAGGGTCATTATGGTTATTTATAGGTTGGCATACTAATTAAGTAGATATAATAGTCATACCTTGGATTTTGCTTTGACGTATCATGCGAGTCTTTCGGAGATTTTGCCTAATGGTCTTGTCTACACGTTGTAGTTGGCTTGAGGATTTCTATCTAAAGGAGCCAAACTTTTTGGAGGCTTCAATAAGCGATTGTTGATGACAACAAGTTTATCTTGTCGACAGTTAACAACTTATTCTTTCTGGTTTGAACGAAGAACTGCAGTCGATAAGAAATTGTCGTTGATCGGTGTTTAGAAGAAGAAGAGAAAGAAGGGTAGATTATGGTAATGAATGGTTTATCCCTCTTTTTTTTAGTTTTGATGGGAGTATTTATAGTAGCATTTAGTGTGTGTATCAATCGGTGAATCATTGTAAATATTTATAGGTCAACATGCAAGGTAGATATGATAATCAGATATTAACTTTCACTCTGGTAAATCATGTTTGTTATAGATCTTGTCTAAAAGTTTTATATATGCGATGTAGCTGGCTAGAGAAGCTAAACTTTTTGGAAGCTTCGATAAACGAAGGGATCAACCTAGGGTTCCAAGTTAGCGAAGGGCTGGTTGTTTCCGTAGTTCGTTCTCCGAATATATAGCACTTTTATTTGTCTGAATCTGTTGGTGAAGTTTCAAGGGTTTAGTTTCCAAACTGATATAACTAATCAACCCGATCCAAAGCAAGTCATACAACTTTATGCAACAGATTTTATGAAAAGCTCGGGCTCTCTCTCTCCTTTGTTATTTGCTGCTTAATTCATCAATTTCGTGCCGCTTCCTGATTTTGTTCCATTATTTTTCAGGTGAGAAAGCAAAGCCTTGTAGTTTAATGACAGAAACATGTAGGTATTTATAGGTATCCATTAAACAAAAAACTGATACAATATCCAAGGCTTCTCCATGCATGGTTATTAGTTACACACACAAAAAAACCCTAGAGAATAAGTGAATCGGATTCTCTATAAGATGATGAATACCTTGTTTTATCCTTCGTACCATGTAGAAATGACTGAATGTATATATAAAAATAACTGCTTTAGCAAGTACTTATTTTAATGTACAAAACTTTGGTAGTTAATTGTGGATCGGAGGCTTCCTTGTTGCCGGACTGTAGTCCATCTAGAGAATAAGTGAATCGGATTCTCTATAAGATGATGAATACCTTGTTTTATCCTTCGTACCATGTAGAAATGACTGAATGTATATATAAAAATAACTGCTTTAGCAAGTACTTATTTTAATGTACAAAACTTTGGTAGTTAATTGTGGATCGGAGGCTTCCTTGTTGCCGGACTGTAGTCCATAGCTACTAATTCATCAACCTTAACATGATCTTCTCCATGAATTTCCGTCGCCGTAAGTACTTGATCATCGTGAAGTACTTTCTGAGTTTCCTTAGCCACCGGCATATTTATTGCTGAAAAACAAAACAAAGAGTTCAGATCCGATCTCCTAAAGGCTAAAGATATATTAAATTCAATCGGAGATTCAAAACTTTACCTCTAGCTGTTGTAGCGATGAAGAGGAGGAGGAAAAAAGCAACAAGAAGAAGACGCTTGCAGGGAACCCTAGCCATGATTTTTTCCTGAATATGTTTGCTGTGAGAAACATCTTCAAGTTGGGTTTGTCTTATATGGAAGCAAAATCTATACAATGTCGACAAGTGGTGAATTAATGGACAATGACATGGAGTTTTGTAGTAACTCTACGTTAGTAATGTGGTCTGTTAGAGTCACCATCAATGTCTCCTGCTATCTTTCCCATGAAAATGCTACCTTGTGTACTCATCTAATGTAACTACGTACCCATCTATGTGTCATTCCTACTGTTATGATTAAGTAATTTCTTTTATCCTTCGTATTTTAGAACTATGAAAAAATAATATTTATGTGTTTCACGTGGAACTTACCTCGGGTTTTCTTTCTCAATTAATTGGCTTACTCAACTTGTACAAAGAAACAGGGACCGGGGAACAAGTTTCAGAATGCATGGCGTGCTGATTTATGGACCAAAACATACCTAAGTTGGCAACACTTATGGCCCTGCATTGCCATTAGAGTAGCAGTTTCTGAACAAGGCACAAACATTGCAATTGACACTCTTCTTGAATCCTTGCACTAATATAGCAAGCAGACATTTAATTAAGGACAACACAACATCCCTCGTTGTTTTATAATTGTTATACATTTTACGCGGATCTTTTCTACAAATAATTACTCAACGATCAACGATTTCGAAATAAGAAGAGGCCTTTAAAGGATCCCTCTGCTGACCATAAACTCTGGAATCTTCACATTCTCCGGGCATATATCTTCTCTTGACATGATATCTGTCAGGTTCATGTGATCTGTCAGAGACAAATATACTATCACTCGATCACATTTATTGAACTTGTCAACCTACGAGTAATAATCATGAATTTCCGCTAAAACTAAAAATGAATTATCCGTTGTAATCCAAAATATAATCAATAATATTTATTATCGTTGTAATCCAAATATTATCATCAATAATAATAGATTTTTTATTCCATATTTACTGTAATTTATCGGGAGATAGGGCAAAAGATTAAGCTTCAAGCTTCTTACTTATCCATATCATCAAACTAAAAAAGAACTTTTTTGCAAAACAACAGTGTACTTAAATATTTAAGTTATTGTACATTAAAATCAATAAAACTGATCAAATCCAACATATTGAATCGAAAACTAATAGTTTGTCTGATTCAATCTCTTGTTCGGTGTATATAACGGACACCGGATGGGACTGCAATCGTTTTCAGAGAGGGGAGGTGATCGACAATTTCATGAAGGAAAAAAAATCACGTGAAGGGAGCTCAAGTCATCAGCCGGAGAGGTCCTCCTTGTCCGCAAAATAAAAAACATACACAAAACATGATTTATACTGCTAATTAAGGCATTCAAATGCAGACGTTTGTAAGGCAGACTAATGCAGGTTTATCACCAAGATGATACAGGGGAGTTGACGGGAGGTTCCTATCATGGAAATCTTAAAATTTTATATATTATTTAAGTATTTTTATATTTTTTATTAATAATATATTCTAAAATTTTATAAGTTCGTCTAAAATTTATCTCCTATATAAAACAAAATCACCAAGAGTCTAACTTTTCTCAATAACATGCTTCCGGGAACAACAGCACATGAACTTTAGGTCCATGTTGCTTTCAAGATTATGTTGTTATAATGAAGCTATGATTATATTGATTCTTTTCCTTTAGTATAGTAACTAATTTTCCTGTGTAATATTTTTTTTATATTAACATACCGACTTTCCAGTATTATTAAAAATCATTATTCTCATTGAGTGATCTTAATGGTTAAATGTAATTTTTCTTTCATGAGATTTTAGATTGAATGGATGCATCTACATAATACATGTATCGTCAATAGTTAAAAAAGATTATAAACAGATACACCTTAAAATCATTTCAAATTATTAAAAAAAAGTAAATATTTAAAAGAATTTATATTTTTAAATACTTGTTTTTATCAGATATGAATTAATGTTTCTTAATTCTTTAGAGATTTTGACTCGTTATTCTTATCCATCTAATTTAGTGGCCTCTTTACAATAAATCTCCATTTTTTTATATAATTTTCTTTAAATTTTAACATAACTCACGAATAATCCATTTTACATAATATACTTATAAGAACTCGAAGTGAACTAAAAAATCAATAATTGATTTTGATACCTTTTATCGTGAAATGATTAACCACTTCCTAAAATTAGTTTTGGCATCCTCCAACATTGTTGACTTGGAAGGGGAAAAAACAAAAGTTTGTATTTTTTTATGCACCCAGACCAAAACAGCGTAGACTGCAGACGAGTATGGTCCTGGGCAGTGAGTGATTAGACAAGCAAGGCTGTAAATCAAAAGGGTGGACATTGTCAAGCTGAGACAATATAAATGTGACTGGGGCTACCTTGTGCCCAAAGCTATATGACAATCTCCACTTGTTTGTAGATGAAAATGGAACGACTGTGATCTTGTCTGTTTTAATATAACATTCAATAATTTGTATATAGGAAACAATTTTAATATACGTTTAATGAAAGACGTTATCGATTTTGTTATTATTATTTTAACAAAATCGGTAAAATATTACTGGAAACATTATTATTTCTATCGATTTTGTTATTATTGGGCGCTTTATCGGTTTTGTTAACATATCCGGTAAAGCGCTACCTAAAATATTATTTTTTTTATACCGATTTTGTTATTATTTGGCATTTTACTGGAAATGTTAAAAAATATTAATGTTTTAGGTAGAAATAATAATGTTTTAGGTAATTTTTTTACCGGTTTTATTAAAATAATAACAAAGCCGGTATCGTTTTTTCTTAACCGTATATTAAGACTGCCGCAAGGTAGAACTTCCCGTACTATTTTCAAATTTTCTTCTCAATATTGTTTTTCATATTAAAATCTTTAAATAATTTCTTAGTATATAAATTTTTGAAAGAACAACTCTAGACATAAGATATCATAAATGCTATTTTGACATGATTTCTGACTTACTTATATTATTTATCAAAATTAAATCAATTATCAATCAATCATATTTACTGAGGATATTAATTTACGAGTAATTATCATGATATTACACCTAATATTACTATTGTGGACGACTATAAAATTTCTAAACTAAAATTAATAAAAACGAAATAAATAATATGAAAAATCATAATTTCTACTCCTTTCTATGCTCCCTCATTATAGAATTTTTTTAATAATTTAAAATGATTACAAAGTATTATTCGTTTATAATATTTCTTAATTATTGATGTACACACATCATATAAAAATAACTGCTTAAATCTATTACTTTTACGAATAATTCATTTCTCTTAATCATTAAAATTATTTAATAAGTGAATAATTTGTATTTATGTTATATATAATATTATGATATGTTGGTATTATGTTGAATCCGCAGCCGTGCCCGTATTTTTGAAGAGGTGGTGATGCCTATGAAATGGAACCTCATCATGGTGGATGAGGGGCTGACAGCATGCAAGAGCAGGCTGGAATTGATTTGATAAAATTCACGTAAAATGACATGAAATTATCGTTTTCATTCACAAATCCCAACAGGTTCCATTTATGTTGCGGTCTGGCATGAGCCCATGCCGTAGGAACCAATGGTTCATCGCGTGATTCGTGCACCACCCACGCGCCCTCTCACGCTTTTAGTTGTTTGATGCTTTTTCCTCCGTGTTTGTGTTTTTCAATGATCTTTTACATCAAAATTATGGTGTCAAAACTTGATAGCAATCACAGTATAATGATTTGATGAATTATTTCACATTTATTAGTTCCCATGTATTTCATATAAATTATAATATTTAAATTTACAACTTTCTAAATATTCTAATAATAACAACAATAAATGAATTAATTCAGTCATTATTCGAGACATAATATCTGAATTTGTATTCATTCAAACTTAATTTTATATCTTTTGGTCCAAATAAATATTAATTTCATATAAAAAATTTAATTAAAATGTAATATTATAAAAATAGCTTATTTATAAAAATGAAACTACTTTGAAAAACACATATGATTGTGAAACCATTGTGAAAAACACAGATAATTCTACATGTAATCTTTCGTATACATAGACCCCAATTCGATGAATTAAATTCTTCTGTGAGTCTGCTCCAAATATGAACAGTACTCGAATTTGATCGATTAAAATATCATTTAGGCTAGGAATTGGGCTCAAGTTCGGGGTTCGGCCCATATCTGATGCCTGATATGGCTTTTGTGTCCTATAAAAGCGTGAACTGATTTGGCGGCATTCCTCTTCGAATTTTGAATATTTTAACTTTTTTGCCTAAACAAACACGCCCTTCGAATTATTTTGCTGAGACACTCAAATTCCCGCCAGTGCTATTCACCACTTTCAAATTTCTCCTTCTCTCTTTCTGCTCTACGCTGCTTTGATTTTGTTCAGGTAAAACTAGCAGCCCTCATTTTTCTTTCTTATTGATCCTTTTTAAATAGAATTTAGAATTGTAGTTAGATTTATTTGCTAATCATTCAGCTTGTCCCCATGTTTTTCATTTTCTGATTTTATATCTTTGAATTTGAACATATGTTGCTGAATCATGTAACATGGTCAAAATTTTCAGATGATCTGTAATTTCAATTTTGATGTGTAGTTAGGACCTTAGTTATTTCCAGTTAATGGCTAAAGTTCGTTAAATGTCTAATGTTGTAACCCTAATTTGAGGATTGGGGGTTTGACTCGTAGGCAATTTAATTGAATCCGCTTTGGTAATGCTTAAACTTGCAATTCGTGACTATATTGTTTTTCTTTATCTAATCTAAAGATCTCGTTTCTTTCCCTGTGCCTCTGGTATGCGCTTAATGTTAATTGAAGGCTACAGGTGGCTGATCCTCACAGAAGTGGAGTTTCGGCTGAATTTTAATATTTTCTTCTTCTTTCGTTGTAATGTTGGCGGATGTTTTTAGAAAAGTACTTTCGGTTTAATGTTGTTTGCAATCGGGTTTGATTGATAGGGAAGCTTTTATCACATGGGAACTAATAGAAAGAGAAGGATAAAGGCCTTGGAACCACGTTCAGAAATTAACGTGCAAGGTTATAAAGGAGTTGATAAATCTAGGAAGATAGGTGTCGAGCAGCAGCTTCAGGGAGCAACAGGCAGGCCATTGGACTTCTTTTAATACTTTGTCTTGACTTATTAAGAAATTTATCTTTTTTTAAATACTGAAATTGTTCTTTTAATTATAAGTTTTTTATCTTTAGATTTAGGAAAAACAGAAAAGGATAAGCAGGCATCACCTTCTGGTTTGGCTGATGCAGTATCTTCGAAGTCTAAAACTATGACAACCAGTTTTGTGGAAGAAATTACAACGCCACCTGCACTTGACCTGAATACAGAAGAAAGACTTCATCCTTCCACTAAGATTAAGTTGCAGCTCTTTCCAATAGATGAAAGCACTCGTATAGGATTAGAAAAGGTAAAATTGTAAACCTAAAAGCACTTTGAGCCTATTACATAATATATATGTAGGCTTGAGTAACTATTCTTTACTCTAGGATGGGCTTCATCCATACTTGGAACTGACTTTAAGTGCTAGAAAGAAGATATCCTCTGTGCTTAAGCACATTGATACCAAGTGGGGCAGGTCAAGCATCGCTGTTGGGGAACCCATGCTTTTCCCATATGTAGCAGAAAATCTGACCAGTTACCGATGGACGAGAAATGACATTTGTATCAGTGCCAGGGATGTCTATGCAACAATTGGAAGCCCATCTGTGTTTCGTTTAAGGTCTAATACCTGATTACCTTTCTTAATCTTTATTTTCCATTTTCTCATTTTATACATTATTTATTGTGTCTCCTAGTAGTTTATTGACATATTGTAACTGATTTCTACTTTAAAGGTATGGGTGGATGTCTGATTTTGAAGCAAAAGCCTTTGGGCAGCCTTTTGTACCAGCTCCGTTCAAAGCCTCTTCAGAACTTGTAGATGCACAGAAAAGTTGTAACACTTGCATGCAGAATAATTATGGAAAGGGTGAAAAAGCTGAGGTAACTAGTGAAGAGTCTGGAAAACCAACCATTACAAGTGGAGAAACAAATGTAGCAGTTACTGAGAAGATGTCTAACGGAGTTGGTTCAATGGTAGTGTCTATGGCCATTTTTCTACTTATCAGCTCACCTAGAGAATAATGCCTTTTTCTATCTTATAATTTTATAAAACTGCATTGCCATTAACCTGAATCAAACATGTAACCTCAGTCAAGCATTTAATGTGGTTACAAGTTACAAAAAGGCATAGGCATGGCGATTAGATGGCTCTTTGAATATTGCCTTTTATATTTACACTTTTGTTTTGATGATAACAATTTTACTGGCTTATGAGATAAGGCTTTGGGATCACATTATGTAAGTTATTTGATTGTTGGCACAAAACTAAAAACTCCAAAAGAGTGCTGGGTTGCAAGAAGTTTCATGTAAAATAATTTACCATTCTGAAACTTCTTTTTCCATTTTTCTTCCTCTATCTTTTAGGAAAATGAAGCGGCAATGGATAGCAGCATGGGGCAATCATTGGCAATATGGGAAGACAGTCTAACTAACATTAGCATAGGAGGCCTGCTATCAGAAGCATCATTGCAGGGAAGGTTTGGTAATTGTGGTCCAAAATCAATTGGGATCTCTTCAGGCCTGCAACCATCTCAACTAATCTCTGATTCCTTTGATGCTTTCCTTGCTGGTCAAATGAATCCCTTTAAAAATCCAGGGCAGCCAGTTCAGGACTCGCATTCAATTTTAGATGCTGATGATACGTGCCATGCATTTGCATTTCAAAAAATTTCTTCCTTAGACAAAAATGCTATAGAATCTGGTGGAAATGCTTATTCTCATTCCAGCAGTCAGGACACTGATTCTAAGTCATTCAAACATCCCAATCCAAAAGAGGTATGCTAAATTTTTATTATAATTTCCAGCTTTCATTATCACAGTTCCATAACTGTTTTACATAACATATTTTCCAGTATAATAGCTATCAAGCTTCTTCTTTCTATTTTGTTGTTTAAAACTATTAAGTCTAGTAAATGAAGTTTTCTATCGTTTTTGGTAGACAAAACTTGACTGCTACAAAATATATTCCGACAAATCACTTTTAGTATTCAGTCACATTGAGCAATTCAGCGTTTTGTTATTTTTGTGGTATGCGATTTCAAACATAAGACAATTTTGATGGAAAATATTGTCATCTCCACCATCATGCTTTTTTTTTTATGTTTAAACAATCATAAAGTGTATTAATTGGCCTTTAAGATCATCTGCGGGGTGGCAATTTCATATCAACTATTTGATATATATATATATTTTCCTTTTGAAGCACTTGTATTTTGTTAATTAGGATATAAACTTATAAATTTAGTTATTATGTCATTATTTTCACAGGCCAATAATCAACAATCAGACACAGACTTGATACTTTGTTCACGAGCATATAAGGATGAAAGCAGTCTGGGGCTCTCAGGCATCAACTGGGTACTTCGTTCATTTCTTTGTCTAAATTCTCTCCTTTTTTTTAGATATTCATATTCTATATAAATGTGTGTTAAGTATATATATTTGGACACGATCTTCTAAATACATAAATTTTTTAAGGAAATTTAAAATGTGTTCAACAAATACTTGTAAATCGTAATACAACACTCACAGCCATGTACAAATAACATAGAATGCTGTCATTTATTTTAATACTTTTTGTTATTTGTATTTATTATCATTTTTCTTTCTATGTAATGTGGATGCAGACAGAATCTTTGGGGCCCTTTGATTCGGGCTTGTCTTCCCGCAAAGTTATAAGTGCAAGCGATATTAGCATAGATGGCATTGTCCAGTAGCATGCTCCTCTCGAAGGTATGAATAAACAACGCACACTAATACAAACCATAAGGAGGAAAAAGAAGTTGAAAACTTATTTTACAGCACAAACATTCTTAACTTGTAAGCTTTATAAATTGTTATCTTGTAAATTTGTTTTTGTTGTTGTGAATATTAGGTTCAAAAACATTATAAAAATTGGAAGTAAATAATATCGATGATAAACCTGAAATGAAATCTGAATGATTGAATAACATATTTTTAAAATATTTTTACAATATTAAATTTAAAAATCATTAAAGAATTTTAGGTGAAACACGTGGAAAAGTGCAAATTTTTTACTGTAAAAGTGGAGCCGAAATAGACAAATCTCGTTTCGTTGTAGTGTCATTTCTATTTGACAATGATTTGCAAGTTCTTTTGGAAAATAATTCTATAAATTAATTAAGATGTAATGTTTAATCTAATTCTTTTTGAAAAATAGAAATGAAAGAGACTAGTAGAGCCGTAATTTATTGTCAAATTCTTTTTTATTTGTTTGTACTTGTTTTTAGGATAAATAATTTTATAAATATATTTATTTTAAATTTATAATTTTTATGTTAGATATCGTTTAATGATTTATCTATCAACGATGTGCTGTAAATGTAATTTGTTGAATCCAACTGCATCAACAATCATAAATATAAATACAATTAGGTTTGATTATAACACGTTAAAACTTAAAACTCTTACATGTTTTAAGTAGTTAAATACAATTAAAAATAGATAGTTTTGATTTTTAAAAAGGTAATTACACTAAACGCCCTTAAATTATGCTTAATTTCTAAATTAGTTCTTATTTTTTTTAAAACTTTAATTTCATCTCAAACTATTGGTATTTTTCAATCACATTCTTTCTCTAGTAAAACTAGTAAATACCATTAAAAGTTGTATATTATATAATAATACAATGTGATAAATTATAATTAATGTTGAAATAAACAGAAGAAGGACAAAACCTTTATATAAAAGATTTGAAAAACCCAAACCATCGAGTCACTTTATATTTATTGTTTAATTGTGGATGACTAATTTAGAACAAAAACAAGATATATTATTATTATTATTATTGATTAAGCTATGTTGTTGTCCTTGCTATTTAATCCTTATTTACTAGATATGATCTAATTCTTTTATTCATATTTTAGTTTATCATGTTTCTATATATACATTTTAGTCCAAATTTGTAACTTTGTTTTTATTACCAGTTATAATTTCATGTATGTATATATATAAAAATTAAAACCATTGTTGTAAGCCTTATTTGTATGAATTTTTTTATTCTATGTATTTTATTAAGCACATATTTATTTATATATTTCAATTTATACTTTTTATTATGGTTCCTTTACATATTTAAATATATATTTATTTTTAGTTATTAATTTATACTCCTCTATTTGTTATCACTCGAATGTTTTTCAAGAACATTTATTTGTAGAATGGGCGTAGAAAGTACCGCTTGATCGAAGCAGTGTGATCTAATACGATATTCAAACGAATGATGAACTTGAATTAAATCGATTTTTTTAAAATAATGATCATGCAAATTCCGATGTTATTTTTTCCTAAATAATTTAATATTTTTTAAAAAATAGAGAATATTCTTTTACAAATAAGAAATAGGTGAGATAATTTTCCCGATGGAGGATTGTAAATCTCGAGATTTCTTTTCAAGTTAAAGAATTTTCTCTGATATTTAATTCGGAATAAATTACTCATTGTCCAATAAATGGATCATACTTTAAATATCGATACGAAATCACAATTTCCACCATTTACGATAATATGTAAACAACTAAGTACCAACTGTGGGCATAGTGGGAGTCCTAATCCTTCCCTATACGTAATCGACTCCCGGATCTATTAAATCGGATTTTTGGTAAACACAAACCAATTTTTGTCTTAAAAATGATTTTTCCTTAAAATTGTTTTAAAAGAAATTTTTTAGGTATTCGACTTACCTAACCCAAAGGTCGATGTCGACTCCTATTCAATTTAGTTCAAACTAATTCAAAATCGTAAAGTTTTCAAATAAAGTCATAATTGTTTTTTAAACTTAATTGTTTTTCAAAAAAAATGGTTATGACAGTATCTGTTCTAAATACTCTCAACCGTTTGACAATGAACGCTCAATCACCCTACTGCAATTACTGGTACTTGAAGTGATGACATCTAAAAATAACAACAATTCTTTTAATTATGAAATTATCAAAAAAGATTTTTTTCCAATGACCAAAACATAAACGTTAAGTGACTAAATAAGTTATTTACCCTAAACATTATTGTCGAAAACAATAAAAATATATTAATCCATACTTTATTGTTCCACCATTCACAAGATTACACGTTCCACGATCAAAGCTTAATTTCTTTAAAGTATTGCCATTTATTAATTAAGTTTTGTTTTTAGTCTAATCTCTCTCCCTCACCATGTCCTTTAATGGCTAGGCAAGGAGAGGAAAATCATTTGAAATCAAGCAATCACTGCAACAGAAAATAAAATAAAAACAAAAAAAGTTCCGCTTTCTCTTTCATTCATAATTTCATATATAAAGAAAACCCTATATACAGGGCAAATCCCGAGAGAACCTCATTGGACTCTCACCTCCTCCCTCTTCTTCTTCTCAGGTTAGTTACAGTTATTTTCGAAGTTTGTTTTACGACTTAAGTTTTAATTTTGTATTTGCTTTGATGTACTTGGTATTTTTTTTATTGTTCTTTTCTCTTTTATTTGCTGTTTTGGACTGAAATTTCTTCTGATTTTGTATGTTTGAAGAATGAATCGTAATTAAAAAAATGTTAAATCTGCTTACCGAGAAATAGTAAATTATTTCTCCAATTTCATATGATCTGTAATGTGAACTTCAGTAAATGTTTAAATTTTGAATTCGATCATTTTTTTTCTTTGAACTGAAAGTTTGTAAGATCAAAAGTTTTCAATGTCATTTTTTTCTCGTTTAGATCTTCGGAAGCAGGTCAAATTTATGTAGGTAAAGGTTTCAATTTTAGATCCGTGCTTAATTGTGATTTTTAAAATAAAATTGAGCAAATCTCGAGTAGCCAAATAAACACAATGGTTGTTTCATCACTGGGGAAAAACAATGAGTATGTCCTAGTTCGCTCATTGTTTGTTATTTAGGTTTTAATGGGATAAGTAGTAAACAGAATGTTTATGAAAATAGCCTAGAAAGAGAGCGATGGAAAAATAGGATCATGGTTGTTTTGTATGATAAAGCACTTATCAATAAAACTTACGTGGTTATTTTCAGTTTCATTTTATTTATCAATTTCTTTTACAAGAAACATGCTTGCTTGTACTTTCTTTAACTTTTGCTTTTTATCAATACAGGTACAATACAACTACTGTTTTTTTGATACCTGGACTTAATTTTTGCTCGCGTGAAAATTGAGAAACAGGCTCTGCTTGCTAAGTTGGAAACTGTAGTGTAAAATGTCATCAGTGAGCAAGGCTGATAGCAAGGCTTCTCTAGATGTGGCCTCATGGGCTTTCAATATTGTTACATCTGTGGGAATAATCATGGTCAATAAAGCCTTGATGGCTACGTATGGCTTCTGTTTTGGTATGCTCTTAATAAACATTTTACCTGAAAACTTCAATATGCTGTGATTGCAATACATATTATTAGATTAATCACTTCATGTTCATCTTGCCTCTATAAATAAGTTGGACAGTTACTTAAAACTTTCGGTCAGTTTTCCAGAAACCTGGGAAACAAGGGTTCAAGAGATTTAGTTGGCGTCATTTTTTCATTGATTATGCTTAGGGTAAAAGTGGAGATGACAAATGGAAAATACTTTACAAATCTAAGCAGGCCCTAAATTTTCAAAACGGCTTAGTAATTCTCACGGACGAGAACATATAAGTGAACTTTGAACGGATAAGTAGCACGTAGTAACTCTTAGTTTTGTTTAGAGAATCCTTTAAAGAAAAGTTTAATGCATGGTGTTGCTTAAGAACCTCTGGCCTTATCTAGTTGATTGTAGTTATTTGATGATGTTTTGCAGTGGCATTTGATAATGCAAATACGTCTATCTGGTAATTTTTTGTCTCATGCGTTAGCATTTTTGTTGAATACAACAGTTATGCACTTAGAAGAATTGACTGGAAGGTTCCAGAATAGAATTTGGCATTACCTGTTTGTGGAGGTATAACAGCTTTCAAATGGGAGAGCTTTTTATTAATAAATGAAGGTTGAGAAGTGAACAGAACTCTTTTATGGTTGGATAAAGATAGAAGCTATCTTTCATTAGCATTGTTTTCTTTCTTCAGCTTATACATGAAAAGTCTCCAATGGGAAAATCCAGCTAGAATTTTAGCCTCCATCTTGGAGATCACCAGTTCAAATTCTAGGATGGAGGTCAGGACGAGATTTGTGGGATGAGAGAGAACTAGTGCAAATTTCTTAAATACCAAGAAGTATCATAGTATCATACATATGAAAAATATAGCTTGTTTTGAATATGTTCAGAAAATTCTAACAAAATTGGCCTGATTTTTTATCCCATTAATTACTGTGCTGCAGCTACAACATTAACAGGTTTGCATTTTGCCACAACAACATTGTTGACTCTTCTTCTTAGATGGCTGGGTTATATTCAGGACTCTTATCTACCATTACCCGAACTTCTCAAGTTTGTCATGTTTTCAAATTTTTCCATTGTTGGAATGAATGTGAGTTTGATGTGGAACTCTGTGGGCTTTTATCAGGTCAGTTTTAGTTACTTTGGTTATTATTATCTTCTATGTTTAAAACTTTTGGAAGTTATTAATTGTTTTGTTAAAAGTTATTCTCAGATAGCAAAGCTGAGCATGATTCCAGTATCTTGCTTTCTGGAGGTTATTTTTGACAAGTTCCGGTACTCAAGGGATACAAAGCTTAGCATAGTACTAGTTCTCCTTGGAGTTGCTGTCTGTACTGTTACAGATGTGAGTGTCAATTTCAAGGGCTTTTTTTCTGCTGTGATCGCAATCTGGAGCACAGCCCTCCAGCAGTATGTAAGTAAATCTTCATGACTCTGATTTTACGTATGATGCAATATATTAGAAGAAAATTTTGAATAGTAATGTCAAAAAGTTTTCTGTTTGAATTGATGTTCAGAATGAATTTTTCATGGCTTGATCTATTCCATAAATGAGACACCTACTCTTGTTCATGGTTGATATTTTGGGCTTTCCTCCTCATTCATTTATTTCTTTTAATTTTGCAGTATGTACATTTTCTTCAACGCAAGCATTCTTTAGGATCTTTTGACTTATTGGGACATACCGCTCCATTACAAGCTGCAAGTCTGCTTTTAACTGGTCCTTTTGTAGATTACTGGTTAACCGAGAAAAAGGTTTATGCCTATGACTACACTGTGACATCAGTGGTAAGGTTCTTATCAGAGTTGACTAGAATCTAGGGAGTAATGTTACTGCTCCTTTTTATTGGCATGAATTCTGATGAAGTCATTGGCTCACTGCAGCTATTTCAATTTTTTAACACGTTATATTTATGCTTTTAAATTAAGTTATACTGGTATATTTATGGATAGATTTTCATCTATAATGAGATTCAATCATTATCTGCAGCCTTTTCGTGCTCGCAAAATGCTAGAAGGCCTTGTTTGTCATTACAATAGCTTATTGAATAGGAAATTAAGAAATCTAGTATATTGTCAAAGTGGGTGCTATTGCATGTCCATGGCATTTTATTTTGGTAGTCAGTTGTGCCTAATTGGCTCAAAAAGGAGGGCAGGAGGAGGATCTACCTTACAGGCCCAGAAAGAGGACTCCCAACTGTTATTTGAGAATGCCTTTTATTTCTTTGTGTTCATACTGAGGTTATTTCCATCCTTGCATCACTTTATGACAAGGATTCACAAATAAGAAAACATGGGAGATTTAATGCTTACCTACTTTTCATCTTCTTCTTTTTCTTTTTGAATTATCATCTTCAAGTGCCCTTTCTCATGTCCTTTTCCTGCTGTCCAATAAAACTTTCGTAATGCAAGAAAACATGGCTTCACAAATAAGAAAAACATGGGAGATTTTTTACATCTTACCTGCTTTTCATATTCAAGGGCATATTGTCCCGTCTTTTCACAAATAAGGTTATTTTCATTCTTGCATCTGGTTATAACCAGGAAGCTTGGAAGATTTAATATCTTACCTACTTTTCATCTTCAACCGTGTCTATTTCTGTGTATGTATTTTATGTTCAATGGCATTAGACTGACATGCTTTGTTGATTGCTCAATGATCTAAACAGAAAAAGATTTTGATTATTTGTCTTATGCTTTTCTAACCTACCTGGATCTGCATTGCTTGTTCATATATGAATATTAACATGTCTGGCTTGCAAGTATATCATTGAGTAAAATGACATGTGCTGCTGTTTTGCTTGCAGCTTTTCACAATCCTGTCATGCACCATTGCAGTGGGAACCAACCTTAGCCAGTTCATCTGCATCGGCAGGTTTACAGCCGTATCGTTCCAAGTGCTTGGCCATATGAAGACCATTCTTGTCCTGATTCTAGGGTTCATTTTATTCGGGAAAGAAGGTCTTAACCTACATGTAATTCTGGGTATGATCATTGCAGTTGTAGGAATGATCTGGTATGGTAACGCCTCGTCCAAGCCTGGCGGAAAGGAACGACGGATTTATTCAGCTCCGAGCAACAAATCACAAAAACGCGACTTATTGGATTCCACCGAGATCAATGACAAGGTCTAAAACTTCGGTTACAGCTATATATATAAATCAAAGTTGCAAATTGTTATTAATGTTGCTTATTCATGTTGGTCCCAAAGCTACCGAAGTTCGCCCAATATTAATTTTTCAGTGTGAAATTCTGAGAACCTGTGATATCTTTACATTTTTGTTTTAGGGTACAGAGGAATGATGCATTTTGAAATGGAAAAGGATCATATATTTATATATTTTTTAACATTTAGATTCAAATTCGTTTGAAATTCGAACCAGTTTGTTGTATTAAAAAAACATTATAATAACTTAATTAGCACAAAATAAAAATATATTTTAATAATTTTTAACTGAGTTGACACTTGACATTAGAGGTGCACAAAAAATCCGAATATCCGAATATCCGAAAAAAATATCCGAAACCGGTTTTGGGAAAAACCGGTTTTTTTTAACCGGATCGGATTTTTTTAAACCGGTTATTTTAACCGGTTTGGAGAAAAAAACCCAGACCGGTTTTTTAACCGGATAAAAAACCGGTTAAAAAACCGGTTTTTATCCGAAAAAAAAAACCAGTCTGGGTTTAAAAAACTAGCCGTTAATATAGCCGTTTGTGACCGTTTTTGACCGTTTTTTTCTTTAAAAAATTACTATTTTACCATCCTAAACATGTATAAATAGGTTGAGGATGTATTTGGTTGATTACAACTTTCTCAAATCTTATTACACAACACTTAAACATCTCTCAAATCTTAGTTTTGTAATTTTTTATTCATCATGAGTAACACTGCTGAATCTTCCGTCGGGGGAAACCTTGAAGTCGTGAGAGTGATCGAACACACTCGAAACAAAGATATTTGGGATCACTACGATTTATGTGAGATGTATTTAAGTATTTAAGTATTTAAGTATTTCAATTATGTTGAGTTAATTAAGTATTTCAATTAAGTATTTGAATTTATCGAACTTGAGGTTTGATGATTTCTCTTTGATTCTCTCTTGATTCTAGTTGCTTGATGTTTCTTGTCTTTGATCAATGACTTCTAAGCTTGCTTAAATACACCTTGAATCACTTCTGAACGTTAGTGATAATTAATGAAGATAATATAGCCGTTTAAGTGTGAAAACATTTAATAAAAATGCTTAGAGCGTGAGGGAATCGGTACCCTCTCATAGGGAATCGGTTCCCTAAGTGTAAAATTCAAATATTTCGACCGTTGAATAGGGGGAATCGGTACCCCTATGGGGGAATCGGTTCCCTCCGAGCATTCTGGAAATCTCGCCAAACCATTCAGTGAGGAATCGGTACCCCCTTGGGGGGGAATCGGTTCCCTATGAGCAATCTGGAATATTAAAATCGGTTTTTTTATAACCGGTTTTTTAAAAAAACCGGTTTTTTTTAAAACCGAAACCGGTTACACCGGTTAGGATATCCGACCCTCCAAACCGGTTAGAAACCGAACCGGTTATTTTATAAACCGGTTTTTTTTCTATGGGAAAAAACCGGATCGGATAAAAACCGATCCGGATCGGATTGAAATCCGAATTATGTGCAACCCTACTTGACATCAATTAATTCATGATACCAATTCAATTAAGGAAATAAATATAAATATATTTTAATTTTAATATTTTCAATTTCTTACTTGATAAATTTTGATTCAATTTATCATTAAGATCACTTAATACGTTCCATTTATAATTTATGCTGTTGTATTTTTTTATGTATGTATTGATTTTAAATTTTGGTTATAATAATAGGAAAGCAAAAGAGAAGACCGGAATTACCAGAAAGCCCTCCACTATTCCCTTGGCTCTTTTTTTCCTGGAATCCTCATTCCTCGACATACCGGTCGTCTTCGATCGAAAATAAATAATAAACAAAAAAAAATTTCTCTCAAATCCTCCTGAAATAAGGAGAGGAAAACAAGCAACTAAAGAAAAATAACAATCTTGTTTACTGAGAAAAAGCTCAGAGGTTCTTGCGATTTATGGTGATGTCGTTAATCAATTGAACTTATCTGTTTTAACTTCTCCAGGTTCAGTCTAGAATTCAACTTGTCGTCCTTTTCCTCTTTACTTTTTTGTTGTTGTAAATTTTGGTATTTTATCGTTTATCTTATTTTAATCGTGTAATTGATGCTCGATTCATTTTCTTTCTGAATTTATTTAGATAATTCTCCCACTTTCTAAGTTAATACGCGGGGATGATATTGGTTAACTTCGGTTTGGTGGCTGAAAAAATTGAACGAGTGTAAATGGAAGAAATGGAGTGATTTTTTAAATGCTACAGTAAACGCTGTTAACTTGCTAATAAATTGATAGTTAACTTAGGTTCATTTGGTAAAAGTTTCTAGCCTTTTTGTTTGTTTGTTTTATTGTTATGGATGCAACCGAATGGATTTTATCCAAATCCTAAGCCATTGAACTGGAGAAAAATGTGATTGATTTATCTTATCAGTTTGATTACTTGAATACTTATTGCAATTTGTGCATTAAAATGAATTGCACAATTCCATGTATTATTTTGAAATGGTTGTTTTATAGATGAGCCTCACTTCTGATTAAATTGGCATAGGCATGTAGATTGGAATGCATATTAGGTTGGTTACGCAGGGCAATGTTCAATGTTAAAATGCATTGGAGGAATTAGACCTAGGTTTTGGTATGATTATAATATTTATGGTCTGCACTTTGATTCTGCTTATGAACAGAATGGACCATTCTTCCAGTGGTGAGGGCCCTGCTATACTGCAGTTACATAAATGGGATCCCTCAGAGTTGCCACTCAATTTGTCAGAATATCGCGAAGCCTTCATATCTCCAACAAGGGAATTACTGTTATTGCTTTCATACAAATGCCAAGCTTTACTACTTCCTTTGACTACAGGTTAATATTTCTTATTATCTGCTTCTGGACTGCCAAAATTGTATTGCATTTTTGTTAGGTTGGAAGGTCTTGATTTTGGGGCTTATTTTAATCAATTACTTGCTTTTTCTGTGCACTTGATTTCAATTGCATGGCTATTCTGGTTTACTTTTACAGTTGTTGAGTTTTCCCTTTTGGTTTGCAGGGGGATCTGTAGACACTGATATTTCTGAAATTTGTCATGAAGAGAGTCCCCAACATTTAGATTTATTAGCTTGTACTAATTTAAAGGATGATTTTCGTGCACTTCTGGATCAGCAACATATTCTGATGACAGTATTTCCCTTGAACCTGGATTTTCAAAGTCTAACTGTTACCCTTTTCTTTGTGATGTAAAGTCATTGGCTTGGGGTGTGTGTGGGGATACCTATAATGTAACATCCGCAATACCGGGTTAGTGACCAAATTGTAAAGTTTCAGAATTTGGTGACTAAAGTAGAAGAATGAAAGAATTCAATGATTATTTGAATATATATTGAAGGTTATTTGGTAATTATTAAAGGAAATTAAGGGTATTATGGTCATTTGACCAGAAAGATTTTTATAATTTTTTTTAAGGTAATATAAACGTGGGAAATGAGAAACATCCAGAGTTCTCTTCTCCTTTCTACTTCTTCATACGTGGGAGAGCCAAGCTAAAGGTGAGTTTTCTTGTGGATCAAATTCTTGATGAATTTAAGGTTGCTTATTGATCCTTAGATAATAACTAAGCTTAAGGAAAGCTTAGATTATTTTAAAACTATAAGATGAGGAGTAGATGAAGAATTAAAGAAAGGAAGTAGAAAAGTGAAATCTTGAAGTAGAGTTCATTTCTTAAATTGGAAGTTAAATTTGACTTGTCAATGGTTAAATTAAGAGATTTGGAGTGATAGAATTGGATTTAGAACATATAGAAAATTTGGTATGATTCTTGAATCTCATAAAGAAGATAGGATTTTGAGGTTAAAGATGATTTACATGGATATAAGTTGGTTCAAGTAATGGTAATTGAGTTTAATGTCAAAATAGGGGCTTAGAATAGAAGATTTAAGGGAAGAGTTGATGATTTACGTGCTAAAATGTTAGTTCTGGGCAATGTGCATCGATGCACATTCATTGTGCACCGATGCATCGATGATAAATACCCGAAATTTGTTTAAGGTGCATCGATGCACATGCAGTGCATCGATGCATGAATTTAAATAGAAAACATCGAATAGGATTTATGCATCGATGCATAAGGAGTGCATCGATGCATCCCCATTAAATACAAACATCGAATAGGATTTATGCATCGATGCATGGTGTAGTGCATCGATGCATACCTTCATTAAAAGATGAAATTGGCTTTTCTTTGAGACTAAGGAGTGATAGTTTCGAATATATCAATCAGTATACTGATAAGTATTAATGTATTATTATGTAGATATAGAAGGAAAGCTTGTTCCGGAACAAACTAAGGATTAGGATTGATTCAAACAACGAGGCCCAGGTGAGTGCATATTTAATAGTATATGATGTGCGATGGGAATAAGACTTGCGATGAGTCTATTTCCTGAAGTGTTACACATGAATGCATGATTAAAGGCATGAATTGAATATGCATGTATGTATGCTTGATTATATGGATTGATCTGTTCTTTTATGTGTTAGGTGAGAAAGTATAAGTGATTACATAAGAAAGGTTATGAATTATATGAGATATAAACTATGTGATCATAGTAAAATAGAATTATTATTATTATATGATAAGTGAAATAAGCTGGATAATATTGATCTATAGGATGAAGTGAGAATAGTACACTAACTAGGAGATTTGAACATAAATTATAAGATGAACATATAAGATAAGCTAGATGGGAAAGATTCATATGTTTAAATAAAACTATAACACAGGGGTTGTATGATAGAAATTTATGAAGCTATATGAGAAGATTATAAGAGTTATATGAAATTGAATTAAGTAAACAAATTAGATTATATATATTTATATATATATATATATAAAGAAATAATAGAAGTGAGATATGTTTATAAGTCTGCCCTAGATGAATATGAATATGAATTATAAGAGTGCTATATGATTTATATTAAGATAAATCTTGAGGATATATATATATATAGATAGACATGAAATGAAATGAGTTATATGAATACATAATTATGTGATGAAATGGTGGATTACCTGAACATGTGAATATATATATATGTCTAAGAGAAAGCATAAGATTAAGATATAAGCAATGTGACTATAAGTATATATGTGTGCTCTAAGTGATATGACTTATAGGTATTTCTATTATAATGTTACATAATATGTTATGTATGTTAAATGAATTATGTGATGGTATAAGAAATGATATGAAATATATATGTGAAAACAAGTATATGTTATGAGATAAGACCTATGACTATAAGCTACGTGAAAGTGTTCTAGGTGTTTCGATATATTATATGAAGTATATGATCTTATGTGAACAAGATATGATAAGTATGTTTACATGAATAAAGGTGATTGGGTGAGAAATGATAGAAATTATATGAAAACATGACATATGTGACATGTGAATTATATAGAAATGATCTACGTGTAAGTGAACTACGTAACTATGTGATAATATGAAAAGAAGCTACGTGATACGTGATATGTGAAAGTGAATTACAAGTTTATGTGAATATCCGAAATAAAATAAATGATAACGCCCATATTATGTGTCATGAGAGCTAGGGGTATAGTTGGCATGCCAAGAGTCGAGGGTCTACGCGGTCCTTCGGGATATATATATATTCTTTGGAACATGTGTGAAGTCTGGTGAGACACATATATGATCCCTAGCATATGTATATGATTCTTAAGGAATTCTATGTGGTCCTTATGGACATCATTATATGGCACTACGGTGCAATTCTACGCGGTCCTTCGGGATATATATATATTCTGTGGAACATGTGTGAAGTCTTGAAAGACACATACTTGATCCCTAGCATATGTATATGATTCTTAAGGAATTCTATGTGGTCCTTATGGACATTATTATATGGCACTACGGTGCAATTCTACGCGGCACTTCGGTGCAATTATACGAGCTGTGGTGACAGCATTAGTGCACAACCTCTATAGACTCACATATCGATAGTTCTCACATACGTACATGGGCTAATCCAGAGATATGAACAAATATAAGTTAGTGGTATGATAAATGCTATAGAAATGATATGATGTTGTGTGTGTATAGTGTTTGATTGAAAAAGTATGTGATTATATGATAAACTGTTAATGATGAATTATGTGTATGTATGTATTTACTGCAATTAATCTGATATGATTTTATACGATATGAAAAATGCATGGAACTGTTATAACATGATAGAACAGAACATGCATGTATCGATATATGTTTTAAAGTGCATTATAAGTTGTTATGCCTCACTAAGTCTTCGACTTAGCGTGTGATTGTTTCACACGTAGGTTTCGAGAAGAGTAAAGAGTGATGCGGAGCAAGACAGGTCAGTTTTCCTTACCAAAAGATCAGATCAGAAATATTTGACAAAGTATGTATTTGGTTATGTATAAAGTGTTGGCATGTAATAAGTCATTAAGTTCGAGCACTCTGATAAAGTCTGTATTTTGTTTTAAATAAAGTTTTAAATTTCGTGGGATTTTTCTTAAGAGTCAAGGTTTGAAAAGTCAATGTGACACTTCGGACTCGTATCCGGGTCGGATACGGGTTGGGGGTGTTACAGTTAATGGTATCAGAGCTATGGTTTAGCCGATTCTCGGCATAAACCGAAGTCCAAAATGTCATAAAAGGTGTACATGTCAACATAGATTGAAAAATTTCTGATCTGATGGTGTAAGGAATATGTTGTCTTGCTAATAGAATAAGAATAATTTAATACAGTAGAAATCCGATCGTGATAATTTCGAAGTAAGTGAAAGGTGATATTCCTGATTGTGATAGCTATTCACCTGCCCTGGCCAGGCAGGATGAAGAGCGGACACCTCAGGAAATGCCTAGTAAGATCAAAAGTTGATTTTAGAAAGCTGAAATCATATCTGAATAATGATAGAAAGTTTTCATCGTTTGGAATCGGGAAAAAATGATATAGAGTAGTTTTTCTATTATGTGGATAAGATAGAATATGGTGAACAGGTGTCCCCATAAGAATGTTAAAAATATCTAATGACGTGATGAGTACGTATAGAAGAACTCAAGGATAAGTGCATCAGTGACAAGCGTATAAGATGTATAAGTCAGAGCTTATGATTTTGAAACGAAGTGATAATATTGCGCATAAACAAGAGTATGTTTATGATAAGGGTTTGCAGTTAAGATGGAAAGAGTTAGCATTGGCTAACTAGAGTATGTGATAAAAATGTACTGGAATTATAAGTTTATAAGATATTGTCAGGATATGATAACCAGATCTGCAATGGATCTGAATACAGTTGCATATTTGGATCATAGTAATGTGGTATAGTAAAGGAAAAGGAAGTAAGAATTTGTATATTTAAGTAAAGCTGGGGATTGATAAGAAGAGTTTGAGAATATGTATATCGATGATCAGATTATAAGACACAGGAAGTCAGAATGTTGAGTTTGAGCAAAAGAAATTTCAGGATGTATGAGAATAGAGGTGAAATTGATAAGTTGAGTAAGCGAATTTTAAGATAATTTCGATTTGAAAGGATGTATGTGTTTGGTTGATTAGGGATTGTACCCTAGATTGAACATATATTATTGACTAGCTGTCAGAGTAAAAGTGATAGAGTTATAAGATTGAAGGAAAAGATAAAGTTGAGTTAATTGATTATGATGTGAATTTGAATATGGTTGTATATTCTGAGCAGATAGCTATGATGTAGAAACTGAGATAAGTATTTGCATGGAACCTTCAGGAAGAAAAATACAAGTATAAGAATGATAAAGAATGAAGTTATGTATAAGAAATGGGTTATTAGTAATGAGGATGCAATAAAGATTGGTACATAAAGATGAGTATAAGTAATAAGACAAGAGTATGTGAACATGAAAGGAAATATATGATTTATGTATAAGGAATAAGGAATAAATAAATGAAAGGGATTGATTTAAAGGATCAGATACGATAAATATGGAAGTACAGAGGACAATTTTGATATAGAAATAAGACAAGTGTGCAAGATGATGTGAAAATATTGTTTGACTCCTTAAAGTATATGTTTAATCACATTGAAGAAGATTTAAAGTTGTGTTTTGGTCAAATGATGACGAAATACAAGTCTGGTATGGTTATAAGGTAATTAGGAAGTTATGAAGAAATAGATGGATTTATGATATAGAGATGGATGTTACTGTCAACATGATGAGTGACATTATATTGAATTTTAGAAAGGTCAAAAGAAAGATGCATAATCGAATGAGAGAA